GTCCGAGAAAAGGAAACTAAAAAGAATTCAAAGATAAACAAGCTTGAAAAGATGACCTTTTGGGAACATGTGACCGTAATCATACGACTTTTAAAAGGACTTATACCTATACAGTACTATATCAGAAAATCTAGGGAAATGATTATGCAGATCCACCATCTGGTATTCTGTAATCAACAACGAATTTTCTTCGCCTCTATGTGCACTCATAACTCAAAGGTCCTTTAGAACTACTATGGAGCAGCCCGGCAGATCCTGAGCGACAACCCGCTCGGTTTGACTTGTGGAATGATTTGTCCAACATCGGATCTCTGCGTTGGTTCCTGCAATCTACAAGCTACCGAGGAGGGAGCTATAAATATTGGAGGACTCCAGCAATTCGCCTGTGATGTAAGAGTTTTCACTGAAATCTTTTCCTTGATCATAAAACAACCTTTCTGACGATCGTTAGGCGCGCAATCTTTTACTTTTTAGGTCTTTAAAAAGATGAACATCCGACAAATCGTCTCAAAAGAAATTCGCGAAAATAGGAACAAATCCCATGAGTCACCTATCGCTTTGATAGGTCAGTCGTTTGTTTTTTTGATTCTTTTCCTCATACAAGTTGTGATAATGAAATGTCTAATCAGGATGCGGCCCTGCATCGATCTCTTGCGCATCATTTTTGGCTCGGCTGGGTTACACTGACATCACTATCTATGAGAAGAACGATTACGTTGGAGGACTAAGGTGATAACTTACGTTATAAGCGTGATCTGCTTGGTTGAAAATGTGCTTGCGCTTGCACCTAAAACAAGTGGAGCTTCCATTATTTTAAAATCTACCTCTGTACTTCCGGACTACGTATGAGTTCTTTCCAGCTCATCCGAAATTCCGCAGTTCCGTCTGCCTTATGATGTAGTCGACTTCGAGATACAGTTGGCCAAAGATATCGGTGTGAAAATTGTGACTGGACGAGCACTGCATAAGAATGATCTCACAGTAGAAAAGCTCAAGGTAAAAAGTTCTTAGTAATTAGTTAGCGGTTGTAATTCTAACACGTCCGCTGAGAATTTAAGTTAAAATTGCAGTAATTTCAAAAACTGTCTTACTTTGCAAATTTCAGGCGGACGGAGCCAAAGCTGTCTTCATCGGAATTGGAATGCCCGACCCCAAGAAGATTAGTGTCTTTGAAGGCCTCAACCAAAGCCATGGATTTTACACAAGCAAAGATTTCCTTCCCATGATAGCAGCCGCAAGCAAGCCTGGTATGTGTCCCAATTTTGTCTTCTTTATCTGATTTTGTCATTTTAATACTGCTACTATATTTATCTTTCGTCTTTCCGAATGGGGAACGCCTTAGGGTAACGAAATGAAATTAATGAAATTTTTTCAGGTATGTGTGCATGCTCTGCAAAGCAACTACCATCTATGAAAGGAAGAGTGATTGTACTTGGTGCTGGTGAGTGAATACGCCAGTTATAAAATTCCTATAATGCATAAATATACTCAGACAACCTTCCTATCACGACATTTCAAATGCTCTTTTGTAGGTGACACTGCTTTCGACTGCGCTACTTCTGCACTTAGAGCTGGAGCTTCGAGAGTGACTGTGGTGTTCCGTAAAGGGTTCAC